TATAGGCGCTGTGCGAGAGCATGAGCGTGACGTTGTGTGCTTTTACGCTTTTGTTTAACTTTTTTTTGGGTTTTTGGTTTTTGCAAAGAACGAAGCATCAAAGCTATTTACGCTCGTGCGACCAATGCTTTCGCCGTTGACAGACTAGCTAGCAACCAACAGGCTAGCTGGTTGTTTTGCGCTGGCGAACAGACACTTGTGGTAGTTGCATTTTGACCGTACGCGAGTAAAGCCATATATGTAAACAAAGCGCGATAATTGAAGAAAACCCTGAACGCAGCGGAAAACAAATTCATAAAGCTTTGACGAAGCAAATATAATATCAAAAAATTAATTTTCAAAGCAAAGTCGCGAGGAAAATATTCTAACATTTTTTGAAGTCTTAAACATTTGGTGCTGTGACAACTTGCGGGCTAACAGACAGTTGTATGACGCAGTGGTCAACCGTCATTCGCCGAAAAGCAACACCTGTGCCAGTGCTAAAGTGACTCGTGTGTGATGCAATAGAAAGTGACTATCTGTGTGGAAAATATTGAGGAAAATAAGAAATAAAAAGAAATTTTAATTGTATGTGCTAAAAAAATAAATTAGTAAAATATTTATTGAAAAATTATTAGAAAATATTACAAAAAAATATTGAATAAAAAGGCAGTGAAGAAATCTAAGTGAAACTGTTCATGAAAAAGCTGAAAACAGTGGAGATATGAAAAGTAACTAAATTTAAAAGTTGTTATGAAAAAGTGTAAGTGAAATGAAAAAGCGTCAGTTTGCAAAAAATATCAAATAAAAAAAATTTAGTAAACAAAAATCAAATAAAAAAAATTATATCGCATGAAATTTTTTTTTTCTTTAAAAATTAGAAGCTATTGAAAAGTCAGTGAGAATTTCACTTTGTTAGTGGAAACCGTTTACAATGCAAATATGAACACATTTAATTAAATTATTAAACTTAAAATTATTACACAGTGCGAACTAATTTAAAAAACGTATATAAAGAAAAAGGTGTTAAGCCTTGTAATCAAAAATATAAATTTTTTTCGTGCAGAAAATTATTTCGGTATATATTAATTTATATTATTCTATACTGAAATATTTTTCTAAAAGCGTCAATAAAATTTTAAATTAATTTAAAAACAATTTAACAAATATTTAAAAAAAAATCTATATTGTTTGTAAATTAAAAAGGAAAATTGATGCATGAAAAAAAATAAAATCATAAGAAAAAATATGCTTAAAAGCTTTTTGTCAAAACAAAAACCAATTAACAGAAACAAAAATAATAATATTTACAGTAGCAACAAGATTAGTTTTAGCGTCAGTCTGAAAAGAAATTTGATTTAGAAATATTTTTTGTTCTAAAAACTTTCATATAAAAAATAAAATAAAAATTTATAATTAAAAATTTAATAATATTTTTAGGAAACTGGCTTCAAAACTTAAAGATCGCCAAAAATATTTACTTTACCTTAACTTGTATTTAAAAAGTGTGTTAGCAAAAAATTCAATTATTTCTCATCCAACAGTTTTTCATAAATTTTAAATACCCAAAGAAAAACAGTCATATTTGCAATGTATAAAAAAACTTTTTGAATAGCATTTTATGTATTATATATAAAAAAATTTTACGAACATGCTTACACAAAAACACGGTGACTTCTCAGATATCTTTTCAAGTAAAAGCAAAAATAACAAAATGAAAAAAATCAAAGTTTTCGAATTTTTAAATATGAACACCATTCACGTGTAAATTGAACTATACGAGTATGCATGTATATAAGATAAAGAGAATACCCAAAGCTCACTGTTGTACAGAAATTTAGCGCAGAAATGCCTGAGAGCACACCGAAAATATTTCCCGCCAACAAATTTTCAAAAAGATAGGCAAAAAAAAACAAAAATACAATAAATTTTTGCGCGTGAAATTTGCAATTTCTTTTGGTTGATGGCGCCATTTAACCTAATTTTTTTTTGCTACAAGTGCAACATAAAAATAACACTACAACAACAAAGCGCAAAGTGAAAAATAGCCAGTGGCACACACGATCGTATCACCCAAACCTGCTGGTGACCGCCAGAAAATAAACAGCATTCAACGGCAAAAAATCGCCACGCAACGCTGTCGCACTGACGCACACACGCACACTCATTTGTCATTTACCGGCCGGCGTTTTGTGCCAATTAAAAGGCGCGCACACCCATTCAAATACGTGCAACACTCGAGGAGGCTAAGGCGACACTCGCCACAAAGCAGCAAGAACCAACAACTTCGAATGCGTTGCTATTATTCAAAGCGTTCACACGCTTACATGTGTACGTGTATGTGTGTGCCGCGTAGCAGCTATTTGGCCTGGTCAGTTGACAGCGGCAACAGTTTGTAGCTGCATTGTGCTTTTTTCTTGGCCAACTCGCTTGCATGCGCTTCGGGTGCTGTGCTACCACACACATAACCTTTTGTGTCTGTCTGCGTGCCACTTCTCGGCTGACACGGTTCCGTTTGCCTATTCTGCTGGCATTGCCGATAGGCAACACCGCCAACTAGTGCAGCAAGCAAGCCATTTATTGCAGCAACAACAATAACAACTGCAAGCGTATCACACGCAGGCGCTGATTTCACGCAAAATAACACACACACGTCACACATACGCATATTTACGTGTAAGAATTTGTTTTTGAATTAGTGCGTCAGTGTTGTTGTGGGGAAATTTAATTGCACGCAATTTATTTAAAAGCCAAGCGAAAAATAAAAAAACACGATAAAGAGCGCCGCAGAAACTGTGAAAATTATTTTTAAAATTAGATTAATGCTAAGCGTTGCTGAAATCACGGCAGCAACACAAATTGCTACAACAATTTGCAACCACAGCGTGCTAAGGGGCCTTGAGTGTGCTCCATACATCCATACATACGCACACACATACATACATACCATAAGTACCATACATGCGTTGCAAAGCGGCGCAGAATTTTGATTTTGATTTTGATCAGAAGCGAAATTCTTCAACGCCGCATTTGCAGTGTGACATTGTAACAGAATTCTTTCTAAAGGCCAACTAATTTGTAACAAACAACAGCAACATTTGCGTAATAGCATAATTAAAAATTCAATAAAATTCAATGAAAAAGACAAATGCAAATGAAAACTAAGTGTCCAAAGCGAAAAGTGTTTTGAATCGAAGAATTATTATTGCATATTATACTGTGTAACACAAACGGAATTCAAGCATTTGCAGAAAATGTGTGAATATGCTTCAATCGTTAAGAATACAAGTGAAATCAAAATAATTAAACAAATATAAAAACAGTGGTTAAAATCAAATAATTTACAAAAATTAACAAAAATACATTAAAAACTTATTCAAAATAAACAAACGTGTGTGTGAGTTTTTAGCACCAATTGTACTGGCTGCGACTAAGCGTAAGTTGAACGTGATTTCAGTACTTAAATTGAAAAAATAGTTTTAATATCAAAGTATATGAGAAACTTAAAAAGATTGCAATTTTTTTTAATAAAAATTATTTCCTCATAACACTTTTCTATTAACATTTTTGTATAAAATATTTAAATTTTTTTATACTCTTTTTAAATCACAATTTTATTAGACTTTAAACTTTATTTTGGGGTAATAAATTCATCTTTTTAGATTAAAAACTTAATTATAATTAGTATATGTTAATTTTTGAACTATTTATTGCATTTTACTTTTAAAACCGACTTTGACAAGACAAAAAATAATTAAACAAAACTATTTTCATTTTAAAAATGTCAAGCGACTGTCCACAGGCGTCTTAAACTTTTAGGATGCTTAGTTTGACTCTTAAATTGCAAACAGCTTTTTATAAGAAATGTAATAATCGATTTGAAAATTCATACAAGTACAGTGGTTGTGTCGTATCAAAAGGTGGTTAACATCTTAGTTTCAAAGTGCTATTAAAAAAAAAAAAAAAACTAATAAAAATATAATTCTAAATACTTCAATAAGAGCACTTGGAAAAAAAAGAACCATTGAAAATCAAGAAAAAAAAATCGTTTAAATTTAGAACCTCACTTTTTTGTTAGCTTTCATATTTAATTACATACATATGTACGTATACAAATTACCCACTTAAAACATAAAAATCTCAAAAACTACCATTTTCCACAAAATTTCCTGCTGTAGATATACAATACATCTTTTCAGTTGGAGTTGCGCACTATGAAATATTTACCTCTATTCCTATACATAAACACACATACTCACAAGTACATGCATTGCATATGCTGCTTAGTAGATACATACGAGGTAAATAGGTCAAGGTGCAACAGCTAAGGTTGTGATAATAAGCAATAGTTCCAGCAGTGGTAGAAAAGTATTCGCTAAAAACAAAAGATCGTTCATGAAATAAAATTTCAAAAGAATCTGTAACCATTTCGTAATCAAATAGTAGGTAAGGGTAATTGTATATTTGAGTCATGACCCAAATTCGGTTGTATTTATAATTAAAAAAGAGAAATGCTCGATTTAGCATTCAAATTTAAATGTAAAAGGTTTATTTTAATCAAAATTCATTTATTTATTGTTCAAAAGATGTTTTGTTGAATAACGGATGTAAAACACGAACAGTGTTTATACTGGTTTAATAATTCTTGATGTACATACACATTTCCCGGTCAGGCCAAATTAAAATTCGCGGTTCTCGTAGACATTAAAAACATTTGAAAGAATCACAGTTAACCTCATTTTATTTATGAGCATTAATTTTTTTCCACATAACATCCGTTTTTATTTCAACACAATATAAAAACTCAACTTGATTTGGAAACCGGAAGCATAAAACATTATTGAGTCTAACGAAGCTATTGTAAATTTTTTCCCCCAATTTCACTCGCCCACTCAGAGTCACGAAAAATCGAATATTCTTTTTTTAGGTCTCAGCAATTTCCTTATTTTTAAAAAGAATATATTAATAGTTTATATAAAACTTTATTAACTTAAATAACAATTTTTATTATCTATATTCAGGAACCTATTGAGCTGAAGAAACGTTTGGAAGAGGTGCGTCTGCTCGAATCGCGACGCTCTGCACGCTTAGCTGATCAGGAACGCGACACGGATTTCGCTCGACTAGCCGACATGGGTGGCGATCGCCGCCGTACAACGTCACACAGCATCGAGGTGCCAATGTCCTTAACGCCGCAGAATAAGTGAGTAAAAGTTAGATGTTTTTTTTAATTGATTTTATATCTAAAAAAAAAAAAATAAAATTACATAAAAAAATATTATTAAATTTAATTACATGCCCAATTCGTTAAGCATATTTGTAAAAGCACTGAATTTAAGTTTTTTATGCAATCCCAAAATTCACATGCGAATGAACATCAAAAATAATAGTTTCAATATTTATTTTTTCCATATGAATTGTATATGTAGCTGCCTGTAAGAAGTTTTAATTAAATGCTCTTTTCAAATGTATTCTGACACAAATATTCGCATATTTTATTTACTTTAATATTAATTTTTCACAATAACGCAAAAACAACAAATATTTTGATGGCCACATTAGAAGCGAGGTAGTCTGTTTTATATCAATAACTTCACAAATATGACCTAAAATGATGAAAATGAGAAACACAAACACAATTGGCGCAATTTTAAGCGTTCCATTGCCGACGAAATGGGGTCACATGCTGCCCCTTTCAGGCACTTTCAAAGCATACATACATACCATATATGTTGTACTTATGCTGCCATGTACATACATATGTACGTAAACTTTAATCCACAAGCACACGCAAAAGCGGGTAATGTTTTTATTGCCCAAAACCAATGACATACCTACATACATATGTATATAAACTAAATGCGTGTGTATGTAAAAAATGCGTGGGTGCTGTTGGCGCGAAGGTTCGCTCTAAGCGCGCTCACTATCAACAGCAGACGCACACAGCAGCACACACAAATAACTGTATTTTAGTTATCACCAACTGTTTACATGTTTGTTGTTGCTGTCGCTATCGACTTTTCGCATATTTGGTATGAATAGTCTCGACTTGGCGACGTCAAAAAGAATCCAATGGCATGCCATTTGCGCTCAAAGCTTTTCAGATACATTTATATGTAAATATGTATGTATGTGTATAAGCGAACTCTTGTATGTGTGAGTGTAAATATTTTCGTTTGGTTATCACGACAGAATGTTGCGGCGTTCACCAGAAATCATATGCCAAACTGTGCGCAGCATGTTTGTATGTATGTAGATATGTATGCAAAAAGCTTGTGTTAAAAGTATATGCAGTTGTAATAAAAATTCTATTAACGTCGCGAATTGCTATCTAATCGGACGCAAACATGGAAAATATATACTCATTTATATATATATATATATATATATCTACATAAAAACACACTTTTGATAAGTGCATGTATATACACATTTATGTATGTATATACCCTTTATTCACTTAGTTCACCACATTAAAGCCACACGCCAAAGCTGTGCTAGTTGCCGGAGTCACACGCTTTGATAAGCTGCTGGCTGCCTTTTCGTATAATTGCAATTTCAGTGGCAAAGTCTGAATTTACTTAATCGCTTTGATTTCTATTCGATTTGTTAGTTTATACTGCCGCTCTTCGCCAACAAGCGTTCAGCAGACGTTGCGTCGCTACTTACAAAGCGTTTTTTTTTTTAATAGTAGAATAGTAAAAATACAAAAACAAATAAAATTAAAAACATTGAAGTAAATATAAGAAACTCAAATTTTTGCTAGAAATGCATGATAAGCGCGCCGTCGCGTACTTGTGGACCTACTTTACTGCATTAGAATTAAAATTGTGTGTGTATGTATGCGCTTATCTAGACGTCTGTATGGCGGCTATTTGAAAGCTGATTAACAAAGCTGCTTCGTAATTAAACACAAAACAACAATAATAATATATAGCAACAATAATTTCTAGCGAGCACTGCGAATTAAAGTCTGAACTTGCGCACTTCTGCGTACACACCACTACACACACTAGTATTTATGCAAATATTTTTGTCTGCTTTGAATGGCACATGCAATTAATGGCGCTATTGCATCGCATACAAACAGTTATAGTCGCAGTATATGCATCATACGTTTATATAGCATATTAGTTGCTAGAAAGCGGCGAGGCATTAAGCTGAAGATGCTATTGTTCGAATGCCGGCCACGTTCTAAATTGATAACACGAAGCAGTGGCTCATAAATAAGCGTATAAATGGAGCAGAAATTGCGTTTGACTATTACGCATACTTTTTATAAAAGTAGCATACATAGGGGTGTGTATGAGTTTGCGTAGTGCGTACTGCTCAGCGGATTTGGTAGCGTGTATACTTTGCTGTCTGCTTCTTTGTGTAACATTTTGTTTTCATTTAAAAGGAATTCGTCTAAAAACAATTAAGAACATCTTCGAGGAATACGTAATCAACAAAATAAGCAGAAAATATAGGCATATATATAACATATCATATACATTAGGGTGGAAAAAAAAACGTAAAATTTTTTGATAGACTAGAGGTGTCTAGAGGCTCTCCAAGTATGAGCGCTTAATTGTAACAGGATGGTCCTTCGCCTTACCGTTATCTATTTTTTTCTTATCATCAGATGGTTAATTCATATCTCGCTTTCAACTACTTAACAAAATATCTCGTTTCATAGATTTTGTAGGAAATTGAATGCCCTACAAAAAGTTTTACTATTTAAGAGCAAATTTGTTTTTTTCTTTTGAATTTTATAACTTTATGAAAAATCATCATTTAAAATTGCAAAGCTCATAGTCTTGTAGGAAATTTACTGCTCTACAAAAACGAAATATGTCTTCAAGTAGTTGGGAGCGAGATATAAATTTTTTATCTCAAAATAAAAAAAACATTAAAAACCGTTAGGCAGAAAACCTTCCCGTTACAATTAAGTGCTCATACTTTACTAGAGGTGTCTATCAACCAATTCGCGAAAAAAAAAACATTTTTTTTAAACACCCTAATATACATACATATGTCTGTACACGACGCGTCATCAGATTAGCGCCCCTCTAAGAATGCTTGGTTGATGGCAAGTATTATGCATACTATTTGACCTAGAGTTATACAATTTTATTCTAACATTATTTAAATAATTTTCCTCAAAATAAGCTATTGGATGACACAATATGATTCAACATGATTTTTTATTGTATTAAAAAGCAAAATAATACAAGAATTATAGTATATACAACGTATGAAACGATTAAATTTATTTAAAATTACTGTTAAATTCGAAAATAGTTTTTTCTTCCAATTTAAATTTTTTGTATTAATATATTATTCCAATTTACATTCCCCTAAGAGACTTACTCGTTAGTTACTGCGGTTTCTACGCCATCGTTGCTAATATTGAACCGCCATTTCTTTAATTTTTTATTTTTACTATTATTTTTTTACATAATTTTTTTTTTGTGTTGTGAATTTTACGTGGAGAATTTGTTGTTGACAATGCCGTGCTTTATTATTGTTTTGACTGCTGAAGAGCATTGAATATTTACTATATCTGTATGTCTGCATGTACGTAAGACAGTCTATATTGTAGTGTATTACAGTGTAGACTTTACAACTACTTGTTTGAGTAAGGCACTTCTAGCAGTATCTGTTGTTGTCTACTATTGCTGACGTTAGCTGGCGTATGCGGAAATGGCAAATTAATTTTCTCACACACACAAACATGTGCGCACTCGCATACGTATAAGCACGATTTTATTATTAGAGAAATGTGTGTAGGTATTCATTCGTTTGTCGAACATAATTTTCATGTTTTTTATCTTTTACATAGGCGCTAATAAAGTAAACAACAAAAACAGCAGCAACGCAAGCACACTTCAAATCGCCAATTGACTTTGCGTTGATTGCGCATACACGCAACGCTACGCAGCGACTGATGCTATTACATACATACATATGCATGCATACTTATATATACATATATATATATACATATATGCATACTTATATATATATACAAAATTGTATATTGGTATATGGTTAAGTATCTGTACGCATTTACCTGACATATACTCCTCAATTGGCTCAACAATTTAGGATGCGGCGCTGACACACAAAAAAGTAAAAAATAAAAACAAAAAACGCTAAAATTTAAAACCAACCAAAATTACAAATTAAAAAACAAAAATTATAGAAAAGCTTAGTGGATTCTAAACACAGTTCAGGCTCACGCTGCTATAGCAACCTAGGCGTATACGTAACTATTCTTAATTTATTTTTTCTTCGACGCAATTTTTATTGTCAATTTCGTCATTGACCTCACGCACTGAAATAGTACAAAACAAATAATTTTGTAGGAGCTTAGTTTCAAGTGTAAAATTCCAACTTCAATGTGGAAACAACCGCAGATAAAAGCACCAGCGTAGCACACATACATACATCTGTTTGCGGATATCATAAGATTCGCGTTGAAAAATAAAAAACGTCACTAGAATTCATCGAAATTGAACGCTCGCCGGCAACACTGCTTTTTCTGTGCGCATGTTTGTGTGCGTGCGCTTGCTCGCTTGTTTATTATTATTATTGCCGGGGACTTTTGCGTCTAATTTTTGTTTTCGCAATAAAAAATTTCCATGCAAAACAAAAAATTTGTCACGAATTATTTACAACGAAGTGGCCTTTTGCGCGGCTATCTTGTAAGCGGGTCGTAGCACAATATACGTCGCCTATTGCGTCAACTGCCACATGAGCTTGTGCAAGTCAATTTTAAGAGAAACCAAGTGCCAACTTACAGCTGTTCGCTTTGAAGTTTTATCACAATTTATTACTTGTTATTACTTAAATTCGCGCTGTATTAATGTGATATTTATAATTATGTTTATATTGTTGTTGGTAAAAACATTTCGCCTGATAATAACCTTCGCGCAAACACCCACCTAAAACCACTTCATGACAATCTGCACATTTGCAGCGCGTGCGAAGGCCAACCACTCGCTAGCTGCTGGCTCTCGCTAAGCCAGTTTCGAGCAGTGCAAAAAGCGCAATCGCAAAATCTAGTACAATTACCCGCATTTAACTATTATAAATGTATAGATATACATATATATTATAAATTATAAACAATACACAAGTTTCTAAGCGCTAACGTGTGTGGACTTAAGCGCCTTAGTAATTATCAGCTGGCAATGCTTCACTTCGCTTCACGCCAAG